GTGAAGCCTTGAGTGTTTACTAGATATGCGGTATTCTTGTATATAAGACCGCCAAGAAGCGACGGCAACAATCGGTAATTGAATTGCAGACAGAGATAGAGACGACAATTGAGTCAAGCGCGTGAATCGTTCGTTCGTTGTGAATTATAGCGTTTGTTTATAGCGTGACTGTGGAAATTAAGTGTATTGCAAAGTTGTATTTAGAAAGAATAAACTAGTTTTATTTAAGAAAGGCTTGTATCGCTAAAGTTTCTTCGGAAAGAATTTTTACGGAAAATTAACAAACGAACAGAGACGTAACAGTATGTTGTTTTGAGTTCAAAACATTCATATTTATGTTAATGTAAGCACACACAAAATTATGTGTTTAGTACTTAAATGTATGGGGCTTTATAGCTACTGTGATCCCAGAAGGAATTTTACCAGTCGTATTATGTACACTAAGAATTAATGTTGCGTCAGCGAGGTCACGTGGCTAGTATCACGCCACCTATTTTCTAGAAATATCCTGTTCCTTCAAGAATGCCTTAGCGTTTACTAGATTGGGGTAGTGTGGTATATATAAGATGGTCACAACGTGACGGAACAGTGTAATGAGTAATTGAATGTATGCGGACAAAATGTTGTTGGCCTTGTGAGACGTGAATTATAGTGTTGTTATAGAGCGACTGTTGAAATTAAGTGTATCGTAAAGTTGTATTCGAAAAGAATAAACCAGTTTTATTTAAGAAAGGACTTGTGTCGCTAAAGTTTAGTCGGAACGAATTTACGGAAAATTAACTAGCGAACGGAGACGTAACAAATTGGTGTCAGAGAGTGGGATAAAAAAAGAAAAAAAATGGAAACGAGAAGCGGCAAATCAAACTACAGCTTATTAGATTTGATGGCAGCAATACAAAAACAAGATAAGGAAAACAAGAAGAACGAGAAGAGAAATTACAGCAGTGGTTGGAGGAAAAAGAAAAGAAACAAGAAGAGAAATTACAGCAGTGGTTGAAGGAAAAAAGTAAATAAACAAGAAGAGAGATTACAG